AAATTAATTCTATACAACCTTTTTAAATACGTTTGTGCATGAAACAAAATTTTGTCTACATTGAACCATCAGAAAGCAAAGGCGTCACTATCTCAGTGTTGTGAATTTTGGAGCATTTCAGATTTTCAGATAAGGGATAATCAACCTGTACAGTAATTTGTTTGTGTTTTAATAGTGCTGTATAACTTTGGGACCCAAATCCTACCACGGCATAATGGTTTGAACATTGGACTATGACTCTGGAGACCAGGGTTCAATTCCCATTCTTCCCCGAGGGTGACCTTGGGCAAGTCACACTCTCTCAGCCTCAGGGGAAGGCAATAGCAAACTTCCTCTGAACAAATCTTGCCAAGAAAATCCCATGATAGGTTCACTTTAGGATCACCATAAGTCGGAAATGACTTGAAGGCACACACCACAACCAGTGTATGTATACCCATTGAATCAGGTGGAATTACCTGTGTACCAACTCATTGTTCAATAATTGATTCAATGGGTCTACTCTAGTTGGGACTAACCAACCAAATTCTGGCTTTATGTGATTCTATTCATATTGTTTATTATCTTATTGAGTCAACCCCCCTCCCTTAAGTTATCTCTTAACCAGAGGCAACTATAAACCAGAGGACTTTTTCTTCATCTGCTCCCCCAAATTGTGGAATGACCTGTCAGAAAAGATCTGATATCTGGATATGCTGTCTGGCTTGAAAACAGCATTAAAGACCAATCTCTTCTGGCTGGCCTATCCAGATGGTTTTGAAATTATGCATTTTTACATTAGGAATTGACCATTTTTAATATAAATTAAAACTGGCTGTTTTTAATATAACATTACCTTTTTAAACTGATATTCTGCTCTTTTAAATAAGCTGGTGTTTGTGTTTTTAACTGAGTTATATGTTGAATTGTTGCTGCATTTTAATCTGTTGCTCCCCACTTCGATCCATAGGGAAAGGCGGGTAAGAAATAAACATGATGATGGTGCACAGCAGAATTAATGGAGTTTGACACCGCTTTAACTGCCATGGCTCAATGCTATGGAATTCTGGGATTTATAGTTTGGTGAGACAATTAGCCTTCTCTGTCAGAGGGCTCTGGTACCCCACTAAACTACAAATCCCAGGATACCATAGCATGGAGTCATGGAAGTTAAAGCAGTGTCAAACTGAATTTGTTTCTGCAATGCAGATGCAGCTGATGATGATGATGATGATGATGTGTTTTCGGGAGAAATAAAGAAAGAAGCTATATATTGGAAGAAGGAAGGAATGTAGTGAAAATCAGGAACATTAGCCTGAGCATGGAGAAAGGCATTTCCCATGTCACTGAGGTGGTAAACCCATGAGTTTTATCCTGCATTTTAAAGGAGTTATCCAAGCTGCAGAGCCTACCTGAGAGATAGAGTTCAGCCCTTTGGGAAGCTTTGTTCAAATTAAAGCTGATCTAGGAGCCATGGAATATTCCGCTTGGTGCCGGAAAAAGAAATCAGATCAAGAGGATCACATTTCTGCCCTACAGTCAGCTTACACACACTTTAAAGTCATACAATGTACAAAGCTTTCCTGCAGGACAATGAGGGTTGTGGGTTATGGCTCAGGGGTAGTTGAAGAACACCTTTTCCAGGTCTAAGACCATTCAGGTTCTATCAGGGATGGGAGCAAAATAGGTGCATCTGAAGATGGAGACGATGGAGTGAGCTTGTTTTCTGCTGCTCCAGAAACTAGGACACAAACCAGTGGATTCAAAATACAAGAAAAGAGATTCCACCTGAACATTAGGAAGAACCTCCTGATGGTAAGAGCTTTTCAACAATGGAACAAGCTCCCCTGGAAGGTGCTGGACCCTCCTTCTTTGGAGGTCTTTAAACACAAGTCAGTTGGCCATTTCTGGGGATGTTTAGCCTGGAGAAGAGAAGGTTAAGAGGTGATATGA